GGGGGAGGGGGAACACCCCTCAAAGATGGGGGTGCGCGGGTCACCATGAGAGGCTCCTACAGCTACTATGCTCTTCTCTGCCGCTAGGAGGGCCTTCTCGAGGAGGTCAACGGTGAGAGTGGTGGGGCAAACTGAGAGGAAGTGGTCCCTGACTACGCGAAGGGAGTCAGGGAGCCGGGTGACTACGTAGTAGAGGGTGATGTACATGGGGGGGGGGGGGGGGTTCTTGGCGCAGAACTCAGCAGGAAGCGCAGCGCGGTAGCGAGTGTCACTAGTGCGGAGGTGCGTAATGAGGTCAGCGACTGTGGGAAAGGCAGCAAGGTCAGGGAAGAGGTACGTTAGCATGAGGCGGCTCAGTGCAGCAGTGGGAGGGGAGGAGTAGCGTGCAACTACAGCGTCGTACAAGGTCTGAGCACTCTTGTACTGACTAAAGTGCGCACGCTCAGAGGTAGGCAAGTGGCGACGCACAGCAAGACGTGCAGCAGCATCGCGTGTGGCCCACTGTGAGCGAACAGTGGCGTCGGCATCAGCAGCAGGGGCAGGAGAGGCACCAGAGGTGAGGTCAAAGAGGGAGAGACCGTCTGCCCTATCGCACTGTAAGAAAAGCTGCAGGTCATCTACCCAGACGTCAAAGTCAATGGCCCGACCCTCAGCGTGAAAAGCGAGGACACTAGGGGTAGCCATGACAGCAGTAGACTAGCAGCCCGAATAGTAGGGTAAGGGCAGTGCAGTGACAGAGGCGCTGCTCTTACCGGACAGGGCGGCTCGGGCGGCTCGGCGGCTCGGCAACTTGGCGGCTCGGCGGCTCGGCGACTCGGCTGGGCTCGGGCGGCTCGGGTGCTCGGCGGCTCGGCTGCTGGGCGGCTCGGCGGCTCGGCGGCTCGGCTGCTGGGCGGCTCGGCTGCTCGGCTGCTGGGCGGCTCGCCTGCTCGGCGGCTCGGCTGTTGGGCGGCTGTGCCGCTAAGGAAGGTGGGGCCGCGAAGGGCGGAGGGGCCGCTGAAGTGAGCGGCGACGGGGCTGCAGAGGAGGCGGCGGGAGGGCCGTTGAAGGGGCGGCGTTGAGGCCGCTGCAGGGGTGGCGACGGGGCCGCTGAAAGGGCGGCGACGGGCTGTAAGGGGAGGGCGGCAACGGGGCCGCTGTAAGGGCGGCGACGGGGCCGCTGTAAGGGCGGCGACGGGCCGTAAGGGAGGGCGGCGACGGGCCGTAAGGGGAGGGCGGTGACGGGGCCGCTGCAAGGGCAGCGATGGGGCCGCTGTAAGGGCGGCGACGGGCCACAGGGGGAGGGTGGGGACGGGCCGCTGAGGGCGGTACGACGGGGGCCGCAACAGGGGCGGCGCGACGGGGCCACGTAGGGGCGGCGCGACGCGGCCGCGAAGGGCGGCGCGGCGGAATCGCTAATTGCGGCGCGACTGGTCGCTAAGGGCGACGCGACGGGGCCGCTAGGGAAGGCGCGACCCTAAGCGCGCTTCGGGCAGGGGCGGGACACGCCCCGGGCAGGAAAAAAAAGTCGGTGGGCCCTAGGAACAGTTCCCACTAGGGAACCTGCTTGATACCAGGAGAAAAGAGAACGAGGAGGATGGACTATGAAAGAGTTGGGTACAAGTACTAACCCTAATTGGGTTGTACCCCTTATGGGCTACCCCACTACAGCCTACACTAATGTATAAGCTATAATGTTCTGACACTTATGCCAGCTATGCTTGCTTGCCTTTAGTTTATCATGCTATTTCTAGCATAGGATAATCATATGCATGCATGAATTGCTTGATTTCCTAGGCTAGGTGCTTTCCTATATTTTATTATAGTTATAGCATCGAGCTAGGTTGTGTGCACCGAATTCTGGCCTTTTCGGTTGCCACCGAATTGCCTTCTACCGAATTCGGTAAGGATCTGTTCGGGACGCTACGCGGCCCGCGGAACCTTCGCGTAACACCTGGTTACGGGGCCTTGTGTCGAGCCTATATATAGCCTCGTGTTGTACCCAGGTGATCATTCAATTCGACTCAATTCTCATTCTCTTTTCTGAGCTCGATCCTACACACGGATACAGTACCGACCCATTTTTCACAGCCGGAAATTCAGAGCAACTAGCAAAGGCCAAAGGAGTCTATTACGTAAAAACAGGCACCAACCGCATCTGGGTACCCGCGTACTCACTACTGAGGGAACTGTTACTGGCGGAGGCACACGACGGGATTACCTCGGGACATTTCGGGGTAGAAAAAACGCGACAGCAACTACAGCGGTATTACTACTGGCCGGAGCTGTTGACCGACGTGAAGCACCACGTGGGCTCGTGTCCTACGTGTCAGGTGATGAAGAGCTCGCGGAAAAGAAAGGCGGGTCTGTTGCAGCCGATACCACTGCCTGAGCGCGCCTGGCAGCAGGTTACCATGGATTTTGTCACGGGGTTACCTTCGAACCCTAGGGGTAACGACGCAGTTATGGTCTGTCAGTATGTTATGCTCTAGGCTGTAGTGGGGTGCTCTATAGCGAGTACAACCCTTCTAGGGTTTGCTTTTTGTATCCTCATTCTTGCTAGTGCAATCCTCTTTGCCTAAACTGTCTCTTGCCTAGCTAGGACTCTCCTAGCTATGGCTCCTAATCCTTTTGCTTACTTTCACGTGGAATCAGAGCTATATGCTCCTGGCCTGTGGGCCCCACTTCACTGCTTCCGCTGCTACTACTACTCCCTGTCCGCCGCGCGCCCCGTGGTGCGCGGCGTCGAGATTAGGGTTTTCATCCCGCCGCGCGCTCGGAGCGTGCGGCGGTTTTCTGCCCGCCGTGCGCCCCGAGGCGCGCGGCGGTTCTCTGCCCGCCATGCGCTCCGAGGCGCGCGGCGGGTTTCTGCCCCGTCACACCGCGCGTTGCTCCCGGGAGGCGCTGCGACGGGCGACGGGGACCCGCGCGTCGCCCCCCGTCGCCCGTCGTGGCCTGCGCGCGGCCCGTACGGCCGGCGCGCGGCCCGTACGGGCTGCGCCAGGCCCGCGCGCGGCCCGTACGGGCTGCGCCAGGCCCGCGCGCGGCCCGTACGGGCTGCGCCAGGCCCGCGCGCGGCTCGGGCCGCCTGCGCGCGGTTCGGAAGGCTGTGCCAGGCCCGTGGGCGGCCCGTTCTTCGCTGCCCTTGTCCTCCCCGCTGTCCCCCGTGCTTCTGAAGGCGCCCCACCCCTCCTTCTGCCCGTTCTCCTGGATTAGGGTTTGGGGGTGGGGGGTATGGGGGTGCAGCTTCTGTGTGCCGTTCTCTGCTCCTCCTCCTCCTCAGTCTCCCTGTGCTGCAGCTGCCGCTGAGGGGGGGTGGACCTGTTGGAGCCGTCGGAGTGGTACTAAGGGGGGTTGAAGGGGGAGTGGAGCTAGGGGTGAAGCAGGGGGTGTGTGTCAAGGGAGGTGGTACTGTTTGGGGGAGGTTGAACGGAGGTTGCCGTCGTGTCGCCAGCAGCACCTGTAGTCCGGGGAGTTGCTCCGGTAGCCCAGTCGTAGCCACCTATGCCAGTCGCCCGTGGGTCCGTTGCTCGTCTGCCGCTACTTTTAGCCGCGGGGCCAGTTACTCCAGTAGTCCGGAGCGCTGTTCCGGTAGCCGCTGTGCTAGTGTGCCTCCTGTTGCCCGTGTGTCTGCAGCTTCAGCCGTCGCCTTCTATCTCCTATCCTCTCACTGTCCCTCCTCCTCACTTGCCTGTTGTGACTACCACTAGCTTTGCTCATAATTGTGAACTTTAAACTATTGCTTCTTGAACTTGTGCTCAGAATGTGTGGTGACATTGTGATCCACCCTGAGCTTGTTCTACTTTGCTTGCTCTGCTGATTACACCCCACTTTGGCTATGGGGGTGTGTCAGAATGTTATGCTCTAGCCTGTAGTGGGGTGCTCTATAGCGAGTACAACCCTTCTAGGGTTTGCTTTTTGTATCCTCATTCTTGCTAGTGCAATCCTCTTTGCCTAAACTGTCTCTTGCCTAGCTAGGACTCTCCTAGCTATGGCTCCTAATCCTTCTGCTTACTTTCACATGGTCGTCGTTGACAGGTTGACGAAGATGGCACACTTCGCTTCGTGCAAGAAATCGATCTCAGCCGAAGAAGCCGCTCGCCTGTTCATCACAACCATCGTTCGACTGGACGGGATACCAGCCGCGATAATCAGCGACCGCGACACGAAATTCACCAGCAACTTCTTGAAGAACCTCTGGGAGCAGTTTGGGACAGGGCTACAGTTCAGCTCGTCGTACCACCCCGAGACCGACGGTCAAACGGAGCGGACGAATCAGACAATGGAGTAGTTGATTCGTGCGACGTGTGACGACCGGACCACTTGGGAGCAGCAGCTGCCGCTGATCGAGTTCGCATATAACAACGCCACGTCAGCAACGACGCAGCAGTCCCCTTTCTACCTGAACTACGGGCAAAACCCTACATTGCCCATGACGTCAAGCCCGGACAACCCAACACCACGTGCACAGCAATTCGTCGAAGTTCTGCAAGCTGCCCGTGTTGGAATCACTGAACAGGAATGGATGAACTAGCAGTGAAATGAGTACAATTACCTAACCCTAGAATTGTGTACCCCCTATAGGCTAACCCACTATAGCCTAAACTAACACAACATATATAATGTTTGACACACCCCCATAGGCAAAGTGGGGGAGAACTAGGGGTCACAAGACCAGTCAAGGCAAAGCAAGGCAAAACAAGCTCAGGGTGGATCTCAAGGATACCACACAAATTCCGAGCACAAGCAAGTGGTCACAAGACCAGTTCACATGCAGGTTTATAATAGAGCAAAAGGTACAATGATCACAACCTAACAAGAGTAAACATGCAGGTATATATAAAGAGATCACAGTACAAACAGACTCAAGAAGTAAGCAAGTGAGGTCCAGTAGGCACAAGGCCTAGAAGAGTGCAAAAGCGCTGATGGTCACAAGGCTGAAGCGCCTTGGTGAACACATCAGCAGTGTTGGCCTCAGAGGCCACGTAACGCAGGCGAAGCTGACCACGCTGCTGCAGCTCTCAAGCAAGGAAGTAACGCAGAGCAATGTGCTTCGTTCTGTGCTCCTCACACAAGGCAATGGCTGCCTTGTTGTCGACGTACAGCACTGGAGGAGAACGAGGCTGCTCTCCAAGGTCGGTCAGCAAGTAGGTGAGCCAGCGTAGCTCCTGGGCCGCCATGGCTGTGGCGTAGATCTCAGCCTCACAACTGGAGCTGAGAACAGAAGAAGAGCGAGTAGAACGCCAAGAAACAGAACCAGAGCCAAGACTGAAGGAGTAACCCTAAGACAACCGCTGAGTAGCCTGGTCGTCTGCCCAAGAAGCGTCTGAGTGCCCAGTGAGAACAACTGGGACTCGCCCTCCAAGCACTAGCCCCATGCCCGACGTACTGCACAAGTAGCGCAACACCCTCTTAGCTGCATCCATGTGCTCCTTCCGGTGACGGCCAGGAGCGACATAGCATGCAAGAATGCTGAGAGGGTATGCAAGGTCTGGTCGAGTGCAGGTCATCAGGTACATGAGGCAACCCACAAGCTCTGGATACGGGCCACTCGGCTCTACGGACTCATCCGAAGGCAGAGCTGAGAGCGAGTGACCGGTAGGCAGAGGAGTGGGCTGAGGCGAGGAGTACGTGAAGCGGAAGCGCTGAAGGACCTGCTGCACCATGTGTGATTGAGTCAAGGTGATGGTGCGGCGTGCTCTGTTCCGGGTGATCCGCAAGCCAAGATAGCTTGTCAGTTCACCCAGGTCTGTGCACGTGTGTCTCTTCTGCAGCTCCGACTTCACGTGGGCGAGTGCCACAGTGTCAGCAGTAGCAAAGACCAAGTCGTCGATGTACACAAGGACGTAGAACGGCGGCAGTGAGGTGTCGGTGTGTAGAAACAGCGACGGGTCAGCAGTAGAAGGCGCGAACCCAAGAGCCGCAAGCGTAGTCCTCAGTGTGTCGTGCCACTCACGAGGCGCCTAGCGGAGACCGTAGACTGGCCGTCGGAGGCTCCACCGGGTACCAGGAGGGAACGACCCAGTGAAGCCAGGTGGACGGCGCAGCCAGATCTCCTCGTGCAGGCTACCCTGCAGGAAAGCAGTGCTGAAGTCAAGCGAGTGGAGCTCGTAGTCACGCTAAGCGGCGACGTGCAGCAGAACCCGAAGAGTGGTCATCTTCGCGGTCGGGGAGAAGGTCTGGAAGAAGTCAACTACCTCTCGCTGACTGAAGCCTCGTGCAACGTAACGCGCCTTGAAGACAGGCGGAGAGCCCGGTGGCCGCTTCACCGTGAAAATCCACATGCCACTGACGATGTTCGCCCCAGGTGGGGGAACCTCATCGACGTAGGTGCCTGTGGACTTCCAGGAAGCCATCTCTGTGTCCATGGCTGACTGCCACTGAGAGGAGTAGGGACCGGCCATCGCCTCTGCGTAAGAGCGTGGGGTCGGGATGTCTGGAGCATCCGGGTCTCCCTCAGGGGCAACAAGCATGGACACGATATGGGGCAAAGCGGCAGCAAAGCACTCAAACTCCTCCTGCCTGTCCTCAAGGACGTCCGTGCAAAGAGCACACTCACCCCCGACGGACGGAGGACAGACAGACTCAGACTCAGCAAGTAGGCTAGCAGCGTAGTGTAGACGACAGCGAGCAGCAAAGTCGACAAGCTCAGCAACTAAGGCAGACGCAGCAGCAGACTCAAAGGAAGGGTCAGTGACAACAGTAGCCAGGAGACGCGTGACAGTAGGACTGGTAGCACGAAGAGAGTCTGACCCAGGGTCAGCAAGAGGAGGAAGAGAGGAAGCAGGAGGAGACGGCAGTGGGACACGCTGTGGAGCAGTGGACAGACGAAGCGCCATCCGGTGAGTGCCTGGGACAGCAGGAAGACGCTGACGCTGGACTCGACTACTAGAGAGAGCAGTGCAGACAGGCGACTGCGGACGAGACTCAGGCGACGCAGGACGAGACGCAGGCTCACGCCGCTCAGTAAGACCTCCAGTCGAACCAGTGTAAGGAGCAGGACGAGGGAGAGAGGAGGCAGACGGTAACGCCGACTGCAGCTGGACAGGCGGAGGACACGCTAAGGAGGGAGGAGGAAAAGGAGGAGGAAGCTGACCAAGAACCTGCTGAAGGAGCGGAACAAAGTACGGCCGAGACCGAGCAGCGACACCAGAGCCAGCAGGGACACCCGCACCAGGGTCCGTAGCACCAGCAGCAGCTCCAGCGCCCACGTCCTCAGCACCAGCGGCAGCTCCAACGCCTGGGTCCTCAGCACCAGCAGCAGCTCCAACGCCCGGGTCCTCAGCACCAGCAGCAGCTCCAACGCCCGGGTCCTCAGCACCAGCAGCAGCTCCAACGCCCGGGTCCTCAGCACCAGCAGCAGCTCCAACGCCCGGGTCCTCAGCACCAGCAGCAGCTCCAACAGCAGCGGGGTCCGTAACACGAGGCACGCCACTCCGAAGAGTGCAGCGCCGCTCGTACCACTCACGGATCCGCTCACGGGAGGGGAGCTCCCGAACGGGAGAAGAAGCACTAGCACCAGTCCCAGTAGTACGTCCGGCTCGAGCGGTACCTCTCCGGAGGCTGCAGTACTCTAAGTACCACGCACGCAGCTGCTCCGAGGAGAGGGCTTCTCCAGGTGCAGGACTCCCAGGCCTAGTACCTCCAGACTCAGAACCCCCAGACTCCGCACTCCGCAGCTCAGCACCACGAGGCTCCACACCCCCAAGCTCAGCACCCTCAAGCTCCACACCCCCAGGCTCCACACCCCCAGGCTCCACACCCCCAGGCTCCACACCCCCAGGCTCAGCACCCCCAGGCTCAGCACCCCCAGCAGGACGAGAGTCGACCGCTACCTCAACAAGCTCAACCGGGTCTACCTGAGACACACCTGAGGGAGCGGCACCCTGAGGGGGGAGGGGGTCTGCAACAGCAGCACCTGGCGCGAGGAAGAGAGGCGGGGGGGGGAGCGGGGCAGTGCGGTAGGGGAAGAGGCGGTAGTAGGGGACAGACTCGTCAAAAGTGACGTCCTGGGAGGGCAAGACTCGGCGCGAGGTGGCATGGTAAAACTGCCAACCAGACGCGTCCGGGACAAAGCCGAGGAAGACGCAGGGAACAGCACGGGAGGAGAGCTTGTTCGCAGACGAATCGCGGACAAAAGCTCGAGACCCCCCGACCCGGAAACGCGACGCATCGCCAACCTCCCCCGTCCACAGCAGCGTGGGCGAGGTCTCCGGCAAGGAGACACGGGGCCAGATGTTGAGCTGATGCGCAGCGTACCAGACCGCAAACGGCCACAGAAAGTGGGGGGCAGCCGCATGGATCAAGGAGGTACGGGCGACCTCCATGACCAGGCCAATGCGGCGCTCCGCAACCCCATTCTGCTATGGAGAAGCCGGAAGCGTGAACGACTGCTCAATGCCGTGCTCAGCACAGTAGGCTGCCAAGAGGTCGGAGGAGAACTCACCACCTCTGTCAGAGTGCAAGCGCAGGACAGGAAAGTCCGAGTGAAAACGCTCGCTGAGCTGGAGACGGGCTCTGCGGATCCAAGGGATCAAGACATCAGGGACCTCACCCTTGGTGCGCAAGGGGAAGACCGAGGTGTAGCGCGAGTAGTCGTCAACAACTATCAGGAAGTACCTCTCCAGACCTTGACCACGGACGCGGGCTGGGCCCCACACGTCCATGTGGAGTGTCTGAAAGGGAGCAGTCGTCGAGGGGAACGAGGAGGAGTGAGGAGCGGCGCGCTGCCGTCCCTCGACACAGGGGAGACAGGTAGGAGCAGGCGAGGGTGGGAGGGCAGGAAGGACCCTGGGCAGGCCAGAGACAAGGTACCGGGAGTGCATGGCACGAAGCCGCTGCACAGACGGGTGGCCAAGGCGGTGGTGCCAGAGGACAGTCTCGTGTGCCAAAGAGCGACACGAGCAGGGGGCGGACAGCTGTGTGAGAATGAGAACGAGAGAATGATGTGAACTATGAATGAAGCGAGTACAAATATGAAACCCTAGTTTGGTTGTTCCCCCTATGGGATACCCCACTATAGCCTACACAATAGCATAAGCTATAATGTTCTGACACACCCCCATAGGCAAAGTGGGGGAGAACAAGGGGTCACAAGACCAGTCAAGCAAAGCAAAGCAAAGCTCAGGGTGGATCACAAAGTCACCACTTATCCGAGCACAAGTTCAAAGGCCAAAAGGCCAGTTCACATGCAAGAGCACATATATATATATATATATATATATATACGAGGCTAAGCAAGCAAGAGCAGGAGTATATATATGTGACAGTACAAGCAAGGTCAAGAAGTGAGCAAGTGAGGCAAGACAGGCACAAGACCCAGCTGAGTGCAGAAGCGCTGATGATCACAAGGCGCAAGTGCCTTGGTGAAAACATCAGCAGTGTTGGCCTCAGAGGCCACGTACGCAAGCCGCAACTGTCCACGCTGTTGTAGCTCACGAGCAAGAAAGTAACGGAGAGCAATGTGCTTTGTCCTGTGCTCCAGTCGCTGCTCTCGACACAAGGCCAGCATGGCCTTGTTGTCTACGTACAAGATTGGAGGAGAACGAGGCGGCTCTCCAAGCTCGGTCAGCAGGTAGGTGAGCCAGCGAAGCTCCTGGGCAGTCATAGCCCCGGCGTAGATCTCAGCCTCACAACTGGAGTCAAGAACAGAAGACGAGCGGGTAGCCCGCCACAAAATAGAGCCGGAACCAAGACTGAAGGTGTAACCCTGTTACGACCGCTGCGTAGCCTGGTTGTCAGCCCAAGAAGCGTCCGCGTGCCCAGTGAGGACCACTGGACTCCGCCCTCCAAGCACTAGCCCCATGCCCGACGTACTGCACAAGTAGCGCAACACCCTCTTCGCTGCAGCCATGTGCTCTGGTCGGTGTCTCCCAAGAGCAACATAGCGTGCAAGAATGCTAAGAGGGTATGCAAGGTCACGTCGTGTGCAGGTCATCAGGTACATGAGGCAGCCAACAAGCTCTAGATACGGGCCACTCGACTCTACGAACTCATCCGAAGGCAGAGCTGAGAGTGAGTGGCGAGTAGGCAGAGGAGTGGCCTGAGGCGAGGAGTACGTGAAGCCGAAGCGCTGAAGGACCTGCTGCACCATGTGTGACTGAGTCAGGGTAATGGTGCCGCGTGCTCTGTCCCGGGTGATCTGCAAGCCAAGGTAGCTGCGCAGTTCACCCAGGTCTGTGCACGTGTGTCGCTTCTGCAGCTCAGACTTCACGTAGGCGAGTCCAGCAGTGTCAGCTGTGGCAAAGACCAAGTCGTCGACGTACACGAGGATGTAGATCGGCGGCAGAGAGGTGTCGGTGCGCAGAAACAGCGACGGGTCGGCAGTAGAAGGAGCAAACCCAAGAGCCGCAAGCGTAGTCCTCAATGTGTCGTGCCACTCACGTGGCGCCTGGCGGAGACCGTAGACTGGACGCCGGAGACTCCACTGGGTACCAGGAGGGAAAGACCCAGTGAAGCCAGGTGGGCGGCGCAGCCAGATCTCCTCGTGCAGGCTGCCCTGCAAGAAAGCTGTGCTGAAGTCGAGAGAGTGGAGCTCGTAGTCACGGTGAGCAGCAATGTGCAGCAGTACCCGAAGAGTGGTCATCTTCGGGGTGGGGGAGAATGTCTGAATGTAGTCAACTCCCTGCCACTGACTGAAGCCACGAGCCACGTAACGCGCCTTGAAGACAGGCGGAGAACCCGGCGGCCGCTTCACCCTGAAGATCCACATGCCACTGACAATGTTTGCCCCAGGAGGGGGGACAGCCTCAACGTAGGTGCCTGTGGACTTCCAGGAAGCCATCTCTGCATCCATAGCTGCCTGCCACTGAGAGGAGTAGGGACCCTCTATCGCCTCCGCGTAAGAGCGCGGAGTCGGGATGTCAAGTGCATCCGGGTCTCCCTCAGGGGTAAGCAGTACGGACACGAGATGAGGTGAAGCAGCTGCCAGACACTGGAACTCCTCCTGCCTATCCTCAAGGACGTCCGTGCCAAGGGCACACTCATCCCCGACGGACGGAGGACAGAGAGACTCAGACTCAGCGACAAGACTAGCAGCGTAGTCTAAGCGACAGCGAGCAGCAAAGTCGACGAGCTCAGTAACGAGAGCAGACGCGGCAGTAGACTCGAAAGAAGGGTCAGTGACAACAGTAGCAAGGAGACGCGTGACAGTAGGACTGGCAGCACGAAGAGAGTCCGACTCAGGGTCGGCAAGTGCAGGAAGAGAGGACTCAGGAGGGGAAGGCAAAGGGGCACGCAGAGGAGTAGTAGACGGACGCAGAGACATCCGGTGCGTGCCAGGGACAGGAGGAGGACGCTGGCGCGAACTGCGACCACTAGTGCGAGCAGCTCTAACAGGCGACGCAGGACGAGACGCAGGCTCACGACGCTCAGTAAGACCTCCAGTAGGACCAGCGTAGGGAGAAGGAGCAGGCAGAGGGGAGGCAGGCTGTAGCTGTGACTGTGACGGGACAGGCTGTGGACACTCTAAGGGAGGAGGAGGACCAGTAGAAGGAGGAAGACCAAGAACCTGCTGCAGGAGTGGAACAAAGTACGGACGAGGCCGCGTGACGACGCCAGAAGCAGCACGGACAGCACCAGTACCCTCAGCAGGAGCACCCGCTCCAGTAGCACCTCCAGCAGCACCAGGAGCACCCCCAGTAGGACCGCCAGCGGTAGTCTCAGCGCCAACACCCTCAGCAGCACCAGCTCCAGTCGAACCCGTAGGCCCAGCAGCTCCAGTACTCCCAGTAGGAGCACCTCCGAGACCCGCGACCGCAGCACCCTCAGCAGCCGAAGAACCTCCAGCACCAGCAGTACGGCGCCAGCGCCGGGCAAACCACTCGCGCAGCTCTTGTGGAGAGAGTGGCTCCCGGCGAGAAGAAGCACCCGGAGAACCTCCAGGCGGAGCACCTCCACCCCCAGCACCCCCAGGCGTAGCACCTCCAGGCTCAGCACCCCCAGGCGTAGCACCTCCAGGCTCAACACCCCCAGGCGTAGCACCCCCAAGCTCAGCACCCCCAGGCTCAGCACCCCCAGGCTCAGTACCCCCAGGCTCAGCACCCCCAGACGCAGTACCCCCAGGCTCAGCACCCCCAGACTCCGCACCCCCAGGTCCAGCACCCCCAGGCTCAGCACCCCCAGCAGCACCAGAGTCACCAGTGACCTCGACAGGCTCAACTCCGTCTACCTGGGACACACCTGAAGGGGCAGGACCCTGAGGGGGGAGGGAGTCTACCTGGGGGGGACCTGGTACAAGGAAGAGCGGGGGTGGGGGGAGGGACGGAGTGCGGTAGGGGAAGAGGCGGTAGTAGGGGACCGACTCGTCAAACGTGACGTCCTGGGAGGACAGAACACGTCGAGAGGTGGGGTGGTAGAACTGCCACCCAGGCGCGTCAGGGGGGAACCCCAGGAAGACGCAAGGAGCAGCACGAGGGGACAACTTGTCTGCAGACAAGTCGCGGACAAACGCCCGAGATCCCCAGACCCGGTACGCCGACGCATCTCCAACCTTCCCCGTCCACGGCAAGGCTGGGGAGGTCTCCGGCCTGGAGACCCTGGGGTGGAGGTTGATCTGATGCGCCGCGTACCTGACCGCAAACGGCCACAGAAAATGGGGGGCAGCCGCATGCATCATAGACGTACGAGCGACGTCCATGACCATGCCAATGCGGCGCTCAGCAATCCCATTTTGCTGCGGTGAGTCCGGAAGCGTGAAGGTCTGACGGATGCCTCGTGCGCGATAGTAGGCTCGCAGTAGGCCAGAGGAAAACTCTCCGCCTCTGTCCGAGTGAAGACGCAGAACAGGGAAGTCCGAGCCAAAGCTCCGCCTGAGCTGGAGACGAGACGCGCGGATCCAGTCGATCAGCACCTCAGTGACATCACCCTTGCTGCGCAAGGGGAAGACTGTGGTGTAACGCGAGTAGTCGTCAACAACGAGCAGAAAGTAGCGCTCGTGACCCTGTCCACGGACGCGGGCCGGGCCCCACACGTCCATTTTAAGCGTCTGCAACGGGGCCTCTGTCGGAGGAAACTGGGAGGAGTGAGGGGCAGCCCGCTTGCGCCCCTCGACACAGGGGACACAGGCAGGGCCAGGGCCCTGAGGAAGGGGAGGGAGGGACCGGGGGAAACCAGACACAAGAAGACGGGAGGCCATGCCTCTGAGCCGAAGCAGAGAGGGGTGACCAAGACGGTGGTGCCAGAGGAGAGTCTCATGAGACAAGAGACGACACAAACAGGGGGCAGACTCAGGACCAGACCTATACGCTACAGCAAACACCTGACCGGACGACGCGACTCTACCAGAATCAGTAACGGGAGGAGACGCAGTGGTCAGTGTGTACAGGCT